AGTCAGCCAGTCAGTCAGTCAGTCAGTCCGTCAGTCCGTCAGTAGGCTAGTCAGCCATTCATTCAGTTAGCCAATCAATCAGTCACTCAGCTAGTGAATCAATCAGTAAGTCAGTCGCTCTGTCCTGTTGTGCTGCAGTCTTTTGTGTGTCTGACCACATTGAAAGGGTTACAGCCAGCATCAGCCCAGCCCAGCCATGGGTGATGTGAAGAAGCAGGAAGGTCGCTGTGGCTCTGCCTGACCCGGCCTTCCAGTGCCTCGCGCAACACAGCCTGTCTCTTAGTGCCTGAGCCGAGAGCCTGGGCATCGAGGCTGACCCTCTGTCCTCTGCCTCTCTTCCTTTCCTCCCCGGGGACGTGTTTTCATGTTCAGGACCCTGTTTCGCTTTTCTAGACAGACCCTGTGGGTGGGGATCCTGACCAGGCCTCACAGCTCTTCACGGGTGCTGTCAGGCTCTGCGGGTGCTTCTCTCCGCCTTCCTCTGCGGGGACTCTGCCCCTGGCATTCCTGGGTGTTGGACAGGTTTTTAAGAAAGAAGCAAAGCTGTTGAGTCTTTGGCACCTCACCTCAAGGGGCACCTGTGAGGACCTTGCCCAGCCTGCTGAGTTCCCACAGGCACTCGCAGCCGCAGGCCCCCAGACCGTCCTCTACCAACTCTCTTCTCTCCGCATGGCTCCAGCCTGGCCATGGCCGTGATGGGCTTGCCGGCTTCTTGGCGGTAAATCTTCTTTGTTTCGCTGTCATTTCTCGTCACTGTGCGTGAAACAGAGATGCAGGAGGGGGCTGGGTGATCGCCCTTCCCAGAACATAGGCAACTTGCTCCTCTGTGGAGTGGAAATAAGGGAGTTAAAAGCACCCTGGGGCCGAAAGGAAGCTGGGAGGGGCCCAGGACAGGACATGTCTGTCTTAAACTTGGGGTTGCCCCTAGGTTAATGTCCCCTTCTCCTGGTGATCGGGGTTCAGAGCGACTTGGCATAAATGGGGAGTATTGCCACATTGTTCGGAGTGGGAGGTACTGGGCAATGAGCAGGGGTCCTCCGCGGTGGCTTTCCTGGGACTGCGAATTCCTACCAGGGCCGCTCCCCGCTGTCTTCTCTCGAATGCCAGGTCCCTGCACCCCTGTCTGTACAGTTTCCCAGGGAGCAGGCAGGTGGAGTTTGTGGGTGGGACCCTGAGAGAAAACAGCTAGGGGGCTGGCGATGGGCCTGGGCCTCCCTCCCTCTTATCTTTTTTAAGCAAGAGATAAATATGAGTCTTTGGGAGATGACAGGACACTGGGATAAAAGGAGAGTGGAAGGGAGCAGGAGTGAGGGGCAGGGGCTGGGGGGAGGAGGGAATGCGGCCTGGAGAGGATGTGGTTTCCGGGAGACGAAAGATGGAGAAGGCCCAGCCTGGCTGGGGGGACACGGGAGCCCCCATTGCCTCAGTCTCTGCATCTGTCAAATGGAGCAGAGCTGCCAGCGAGGGGTGTGTCCAGTCTGAACCTGGCTCCGGGCTCATGCAGGGACAGCCCTCACCTTTGCCCCATGGCGAGGTGGACGCATTGCTTGGTGATCCTACGTAGCTCTCTGGTTTGGACCTGGACCATGTGTGCTTTCCTGCTGCTGGAGCGCTCTGGAAGTCTGACCACTCTTGTCCTGTGTTTGCCCTGAAGGGCGCCTCTCCCCCAACTTCAAATTCTGGGCTCCTCCATTCACCTTCCTCGAGACCTTAGATCCCCTTGGACCTGGGGCAGGAGGACGCTCGGGGAAGACTTCCTCAGGAAGCGATGCCTCCGGTGCCAGCAGATGGAGGAAGGAGGGATGAGGACAAACATTCCAGGGACCAGATGGCCAGGCCAAATGCAGGAAGGGCCTCTTAAAGACAATCAAAAGCCCTGGCCACTGCCTGGTGAGCTGCAAAGGAACAGGCCTTGCACTCTTCCTGCATAGCCGGGAACCACTTGCGTGCATTCTGGGAGCTGTGGGGAGAAAGTTGGACTTGATGGCAAGAGCAGTGGCAGTGACCATGAGCTCTGAGGGGGGGAGTCAGGAGTGACTGGCTGAGCATCAGGGGGTAGAGCCCTTGAGATGTCAGTGGACTTCCTGCTGACCACCTCAAACACAAGGCAGGATTGTCCTGGGGGTGTGACAGTTAACGTCCTGTGGAGGGAGGGGCATTTGGAGAACTCTGAGACGAGACTTCCTCTTGGGTCCCACTCACTCATTCACTCAGATACTCGTCACGCAGACTCGTTTGCTCCTTCTCTTGTTCATTCACTCATTCGCTTGTTCATTCATTGAATCCCTCACACATTCATTCCTCCACTTATCTGCTCCCTCTTGCATTCATCGAACTCCCAAGGAGACCGTTGCCTTCCTTCACCCCCTTCCTTCCCTGGTGTCCTCTGGCAGTCTGTCCTCTGAAGGGGACTGCCAGGCGGCAGGAGGACCTGACCCAGAAACCGATACAATTAGGAATCAGCTAGAATTAGCACCGGCGACTTTGGGGACTGGCAGGTCTGAACGTGCAGGGCTGTTGGCGGTGGCACGTTCCAGTCTAGAGCAGGACTTCCTTCCTTCCTTCCTTCCTTCCTTCCTTCCTTCCTTCCTTCCTTCCTTCCTCCCTCCCTCCCTCCCTCCCTCCCTCCCAAACGTGCCGTGGCGGCCTTACACTGCCACCTGAGTCGTGGGCTGCCTTCTGGGGGCCTCTCAGAGCTGGGCCCTGCGAATCGGAAGCGCCTGAGAGCGAGGAACCCTCCCTCTGGGTCCTGCGGCTTCTGGGAAGGGTCTGTCTCTGCTCAGGCTTCACCCACCCACTGGTCTAGCCCCTCCCTGAGGCTCAGCCCTTGGTGTCCCTGCTAGGTGGAAGCTCTGAGAAAGGGGAACAGAGCAGAGCAGAAGTCCCTTCCTCAGAGGACACACTTCCCTGCCCCGGCACCCCAGCAGAAGTGAGATGTGGCAAGGAGCCCCGGGCTTGCACAGAACTCTGGGTTTCACTTCCGCTTCCTCTTGCCTTCCTGGGAGGTGAACGGAGGGTTCGTTTATGGCTCCAGAGGAAGCAGGTGCCTCGAACGGAGACCCTGAGCGTTTGCAGCTTTGTCATATTTGGGGCTTTCTGTGTCATTCCCCCACCCCACCCCACCCCCAGTGCCCCTGGAGGCCCCTCCCACACCCATTCCACTCAGGCACTCGGCACTGACACGCAGAAGCTCAGGGCACACTGGCACTCAGACCACACACACTCCCCCCCCCCCATTGTTGGATGTGACTCTAGGGTGCAGGACCCAGGGGCACACACCTGCCTTCCCAATGGCCGCCAGCCACAGTATGGTAGACATGAGAAAGTAAGTCTTTTCCCAGGGTGCTTGGTGACACCCCAAGGCCTCACCACAGAGCCCTTCTGTCATCTCTGGGTTCCTTCTCCAACATGGCTTCTGTCCTCCAGCCTCAGGGTCCCTTGGACACAGAGACACAGACCCTGGCCTCTCATGGATGGTGGAACTCAGGGTGATTGGCAGGCCAACCAGGAAGGAACTTGGGGCACAGAGGCCACCCAGCCCCCCCACCCCCTGGCAGGGTGTGGCCCCATCCCCCTCGGCAGGAGCCAGTTCAGTATCTGAAGTGAGAGTCTGATAGTCTGGGAAGCGGTGAAATTGATGGGTGGGGGAGAGGGGAGCCATGTCCCCTCCTTGTGCCCTTCTCCCTCACTGCCTCTCTCTCCCTCCCTCCCCCCTCCCTCACCTTCTTCCTCTCCCTTTCCCTCCCTCCCTCCACTTGTCACCTCCTATCTCCCCACGAATCTTTTTTTGCTTTTCGGGTCACACCTGGCGATGCACAGGGGTTACTCCTAGCTCTGCACCCAGGAATCACCCCTGGTGGTACTCAGGGGACCATACCATATGGGATGCTGGGAATCGAACCCGGATTGGCCGCGTGCAAGGCAAACGCCCTCCCCACTGCGCCATTGCTCCAGCCGCTCCCCACAAGTCTTTAAACTCCTACCAGACTGCCATTCCGCTTCCTCTGGTGCTCTGCCTTCCCCTTTGCCTTTCTCTCCCCTTTAGGGACCCAGGGTCCCTCAGCCCAGGGGCACCTCTCTCTTTCCTCCACTCTGTCCCCACCGCAGCATGCTGGTGCTTTTGTTCCCAGCCTGTGGCAGGGGACCAGGGAGTAGGGGAGAGGCTGCCTTGCATGCAGGTGACAGGGACCTGGCCACGGGAGGCTCACCCTGTGCCAGGCCTGGAGCTGGAAGAGCAGGGCCACAGCAGGGAGAGGGTCCGAGACCGAGGCAGTCCTGTGCGGAACGCAGGCTGGTACGAGCATCAGGGGGGGCCTTCTCACGCCCCCCACTGTGATCAGCTTCTTAGCCCCTTTCCCTCAGGTAGCCCTGACAGGCAGGGCCGCCCCAGCCTTAGTGGCACCCCCATGTCAGCGGCCGATCCGCTATGCCCATTCTCTGCTGGCCCCTCTCTTTGGGGAAGTTGGGAAAACCGCTGAGCTCAGATCACACCAGACCAGACAGCGGGAGGGGCGGTGTGGCTGAGGGCCCAAGGCGTCATCACGGGTCTTGAGGAAGGTCCGTGTGAGTGGGTGCTGGGCAGGACGGAGCAGTTCCGGCCTTCCCTTCGAGCTTCCGGAAGGCTGGGAGGAGGGCACGTGGTGGCACTCTGCTCTGGGGCCCGAACACCCTCTGGGCCCACACACCCTCTGTGCGCAGGTATTTTCAGGCTCGTATTTGGGAGGGACCCAGAGAAGTGACTTTGAGTGGCTTCCTGTGGGACACACAGCTGCCAGGGCCCAGCAGGGCTGGGTGGGGGCTGAGCAGCTTCTCGCCAGCCCCCACTGCTCGCGGTAAGCGCCCTGGATCCCTGTGGGAGGCCGGACTCCTGGCTGGGCCCTTTGGGGTTAGCCAGCGCAGGAAGGGGGGAGCCGCGTGGGGCCTTTGCTCCCGGGATCGGGAGTGTGGGGGAGCGGGGCAGCAGGCGGGGGTGCTGGTGCTAATGGCCTCTCCTTCCACAGCGATGTGCTCCTAGCGACCGCCGCGGGATGGAGGGTTTCATGGACTCAGGGACACAGACGGACGCGGTGGTGGTTCTGTCCTTGGCCCAGGCCGCTGTGCTGGGCCTGGTCTCGGAAAATGAGCTCTTCGGAGCCACCATAAGCGCCGACGCCTTCTACCCGGACCTGGGACCGGAGCTGTCCGGGGAGGCCATGGGGGAGCCGGGGCCCCCAGCCCCCGCCGACATCTACCAGCTGGCCTGCAGCGGACGGGCCCTGGAGGAGCCGGCGGAGGAGGAGGTGCTGGAGGTGGAGGCGGCCTTCGAGAAGCACACGCGGAGGAAGACGAGGCCGCCCGTGCGGCTGGTGCCCAAGGTCAAGTTTGAGAAGGTGGAGGAGGAGGAGGAGCAGGAAGTATATGAAGTCTCGGTCCCCGGGGACGACAAGGTCGCTGGCCCCGCCGAGGCCCCGGGCCAGGGGGCCACGGGGGGCTGCGAGCCGCTGGTGCAGAGCAGCGCCGTCAAGATGATCGATCTCAGCGCCTTCAGCCGCAAGCCACGGCCACTGATGCGCCACCTGCCCCGCGCCACCAGGCCTGAGCTGGACGTGGCCTCCTACGACCCCCACTTCCCCGACCCAGCCCGGGACGGCACTTTCCCCGAGCCCAGCCTGGCACTGCCCGGCCCCGAGGCCCTGACGGCCGAGTGCGGCTTCGAGCCACCACCCCTGGCCCCGCTGAGCGACCCCGAGGCGCCCCCGCTGGAGTCCCCCGAGCCCGCAAAGCCGGAGCAGGGCTTCGTGTGGCAGGAGGCCAGCGAGCTGGAGGCAGACGCGGCCGGCTCGACCGCGGAGCGCCACAAGAAGGCGCAGCTGGACCGGCTGGACATCAACGTGCAGATCGACGACTCGTACCTGGTGGAGGCGGGCGAGCGGCAGAAGCGCTGGCAGTGCCGCATGTGCGAGAAGTCGTACACGTCCAAGTACAACCTGGTCACCCACATCCTGGGCCACAACGGCATCAAGCCGCACTCGTGCCCGCACTGCAGCAAGCTCTTCAAGCAGCCCAGCCACCTGCAGACGCACCTGCTCACGCACCAGGGCACGCGGCCGCACAAGTGCCAGGTGTGCCAGAAGGCCTTCACGCAGACCAGCCACCTGAAGCGCCACATGCTGCTGCACTCCGAGGTCAAGCCCTACAGCTGCCACTTCTGTGGCCGCGGCTTCGCCTACCCCAGCGAGCTCAAGGCGCACGAGGTGAAGCACGAGAGCGGCCGCTGCCACGTCTGCGTCGAGTGCGGCCTGGACTTCTCCACCCTGACGCAGCTCAAGCGCCACCTGGCGTCCCACCAGGGCCCCACGCTCTACCAGTGCCTGGAGTGCGACAAATCCTTCCACTACCGCAGCCAGCTGCAGAACCACATGCTCAAGCACCAGAACGTGCGGCCCTTCGTGTGCACCGAGTGCGGCATGGAGTTCAGCCAGATCCACCACCTCAAGCAGCACTCGCTCACGCACAAGGTGAGGGGGACCCCCAGCCGCGAGGGGCGGCGTGCGCGCGAGGCCCCCCATGTTAGTTTTGTCTTCTGGTGTCTGGGACACACCCGGTAGTGCCCAGGGTGACTCCCCTATGGGGTGACGGGGATCAAATCTGGGTCAGTGGCGTACAAGGCAAGAGCCCTACCCACTGTAGGATGTTCCTGCCCTCTTTTTTTTTGGCTTTTTGGGGGTCACGCCCAGTGATGCTCAGGGGTTACTCCTGGTTCTGCGCTCAGCAATTACTCCCGGCGGTGCTCAGATTGGGATGCCAGGAATGGAACCCACATCGGCCACATGCTAGGCCAACGCCCTGCCCACTGTATTAGCGCTCTAGCCCTTTCTTTTTCGTTTCGGTTTTGGGGCCACACCCAGCCGTTTTCAAGGCTGACTCCTGGCCCTGGTGCTCAGGGATTTAGGGCTAGTGGGGGACACTTCGTGGTGCTGGGGTTTGAAGCGAGGTCAGCTGTGAGCAAGGCACCCAGCCTGCTGTGCTGTTGTTCTGGCCTGTTATGTCTCCTTGGGCCACCCCCCTCGCCCCGTGCCTCTTGGGGGCTGCTCTTGTCCTGTGGAGCTGGAAACCGAGCCCTGCTCAGCCCTCAGAGGACTTCTAATGGTCGAACCCTTATTCTAATAGAACAGTGAAAGCTTGTATACAAACCTCGGGGGAGCTCAGCTTGGAGCACCTGCCTGGCCTGGGTGGGGCCTTGGGTTTGATCCCAGTTCTGCCAGAAACAAGACGTAGAGGAAAGAGATTGATATGAAGACGGTGAAAATGATCAGGGCTGCTGGGGAGATGGCTGAAAGGTCGGGAGCACAGGCCTTGCAAGCGGGGAGCCCATGTGTGGTCCCTGAGAGCACTGCTGAGAGTAACCTCCGAGCAAAGAGCCCCTGAAACTGCCTGGTAGAATCCTGAAAGAAAGAAAATGGGGGCCGGATTGGTAGCATATTGGGTAAAACTTTTGCCTTGCACGCGGCTGACCCAGGTTCAATCCCCAATATCCCATAAGGTCCACCTGTTCACCGCCAGGAGTAATAGCTGAGTGCAGAGCCAGGAGGAACCCCTGAGCATTGCTGGGTATGATCCCCCCAAAAGAAGGGAGGGAAGGAGGGAAGAAGGAAGGAAGGAAGGAAGGAAGTCAGGGAGAGAGCTTATAGGATTTCACTGAGTTTACTGAAACCCTTAGCTGGTGTCTGTTTACAGAATATCCTCTTCCTGGTGCCTCATGCCGCCCAGAAAGCTTTGTTGTTGTTCAAGGCACTGCTGTCACTGGAAAGGAAGTGTTGGAATTACTTTTTCCTTTTTTTCTCTCACTTAAAAAAAAATCTATTTAATGAAACGTTTGGGAGAACTCCAGTAGGACTGAAGGCACCAAGTAGAGGAAGTCTCCAGCTGGCTGGGGGGGACAGCCAGCCCTGGGGTGGGGTTTCAGGGATCACACTCCCACGGGAGTCCCCAGCTGGGGGGGGGGGGGGCAGCTGCCCCAGGGCGAGCTTCTGTCAGGTGCTGAAGCTGGCAGCTTGGCAGCCAAACCAGATGATGTATTGCTAACGTCTGTGTGGGTAGGGCAGGAGGGCGGAGACGCCCTCAGTGTGCTCCATTCTCCTCTCCCCTGGGCCTTCGGACTCCCCACACGGCTGCAGGCTGTTAGGAGATAAATAATGCTGTGAGGAAAAGCTGCGAGCAGAAATCAAAGGCGAATCAAGTTGGAAACATCCCTCTGACAGCCTGAGTTTATGTGTGTGAGTGTGTGTGCGTGCGTGCGTACACACGCGCACACGTTCCTAAAAGCTGGTGCCCTCTGGTGGTCACCCACGGCGGCTTCCTGCCCTATGAGTCCAGATGGGGAACAAGCGAGCTCCCCACAGCCCTACTCAGCCACTCTCAGCAAAGAGATCAGGCCAGGCCCTGCTCACCCCATACACAGCACAGGGGCCCATGTGCCCTGCTTGGGGGTCATTTCTAGACCATGGTACCTGCTGGGAGCTGGTTCCTGAAAAAATGGCTGTTGATTCAGAGGGAATGAGTGTGTGAATGTGTGAGTAAATGAGTGAATAATTGAACGAGTGTGCTAGTGAATGAATGTGAGTGTATCAGTGAATGTGTGAATGAATGAGTGGTTGAGTGTTAGTGAATGAGTGTATGAATGTTAATGAATGAGTGTGAATGTGTGTATATGTGCATGAGTGTGTGAGTGAATGAGAGAGAGTGTGGTGAGTGAGTGTGTTGAGTGAACAACTTTGGCTCTGTGCCCTGTGGGAGACCCGCAGGTCTGCTGCCTGATGGGCAGAGGGCAGGTGTGTGGGTGTAGGGTGAGACTCAGCCAGCCTGCCTGTTCCTGGAAGACAGCCTGGAACAGGTGTCTTGTCAGCAGGTTCTTCCAGTGGTAGCTACTTGGCGTGCCTCAGGAAACACACACACACACACAGTCCCTGGTGGAGTCCTGACCCCCAGTGTCCCCCAGGGTGTGAAGGAGTTCAAGTGTGAGGTGTGCGGCCGGGAGTTCACGCTGCAGGCCAACATGAAGCGCCACATGCTGATCCACACCAGCGTGCGGCCCTACCAGTGCCACATCTGCTTCAAGACCTTCGTGCAGAAGCAGACCCTCAAGACGCACATGATCGTCCACTCGCCTGTGAAGCCATTCAAATGCAAGGTACTGCCCCTGGGCCGGGTCTGGAGGGGCGGGGGTGCGGGGCCCCGCCAGCTGACCCCGAGCTGCCCACCCCAGGTGTGCGGCAAGTCGTTCAACCGCATGTACAACCTCCTGGGCCACATGCACCTGCACGCGGGCAGCAAGCCCTTCAAGTGCCCCTACTGCTCCAGCAAGTTCAACCTCAAGGGTAACCTGAGCCGACACATGAAGGTCAAGCACGGCGTCATGGACATCGGCCTGGACAGCCAAGGTGGGTTTCGGGCCTGTCCTGCGGGCCCTGGGATGCGCCGGGCTGAGAGAGCACAGGAGGGATCTGCAGGGGTGCAGGGGGGTGGGGGGCGCGGCACGGCAACGCAGCCTCGAGGATCGGGCAGTCCACTCTTCCAAAGTGAGGCACATGGGCTGAGCACTGGCCCTGTGTGCAGGACGCGGGGTCCACCTGGGCCGTCTCACGGGAACTGGGGCCTCACTCCTGGGAACCTCTCTTGCAGACCCCATGATGGAGCTGGCAGGCACTGACCCCTCTGAGCTGGACGGCCCACAGGAGATGGAGGACTTCGAGAACGCCTATGCCTACACTGGGGTGGACGGCAGCGGCGAGGCCAGCGCGCTGAGCCAGCAGGCCATGAAGGAAATGGCCTTTTACAACGTGCTATAGCCGTGCCAGCCACGAGGGGGCGGGCTCCTCCACCGAGCTTTTGCACCTGGGGGGCCCTGAGACCAAATGCCCACCGGACTCCTGGCTGGCCCGGACGGAAGGACAGACAGAGGGACGGGGAAGGGCAGCTTAAGGGAGAAGTGCTGGTGGCGGCCCCGGGAGGCTCCTCAGGGCCCTGCACTGGAGGGGAATGAGCCGAGCCATGCCTTGTTCTCCTGCTCCGCCCCGCTCCTGCCTCCAGGGATGACCCGGGGTGAGCGCAGCCCACCCACCACCCTCATCCCCCAAGGCCAGGCAGGGCCCCTGCCTTCTACCTCCTGGTGCCTGCCTCGCCCTCCGCGAGCCAGGCGTGCATGCCTCCCACCCCCGGCCCCCCACTCACAGCCTCTCCAGCCCACCCCAGAAGAGCCTGGTCCTAGAGTCCTGTTTTGGGGGGGCAGGTGTCTGCGAAGTAGGTTTCCACACGTGTCAGCCAGTCCCATCTTGCCCAGGACGAGTGGGGAGGGGGGCGCCCGCCAGGATTCCCCTCAGACACGTGAACCAAGCTGGAACAGGCCTGTAGGGGTGCAGGCTAGCAAGGACGCAGGGGTCCCTGGGTACCAGCAGGGGCGCCTCTGGTGTGGAAGAGGTTATTCAGGGACAGCAAGCCCTCGCCATTCATTCTAGAATGAAATGGAATCTTGCTGAGGAGCAGAGGACCCAGAAGGTGATTCCGGTTTTCTTTCTTTTGACTTTATATCACCTGCCTTAGGTGTTTCCAGATGGAGGGGCTCTTCCCCAGGGGACCGTGCTGCTGGGCTGTACCCCGAGTGCCCCATACAGCCAGCAGGCCCAGGGGACAAGCACGTGAACCTGGAAGGGCAGCAGACCCCCAAGGCCCTCCCTGCTGGCAGGGCACCACCCTCCTCCCCTTTTAGCAGCCCCTTGGCACCTTTCCGCCCCTCCACCCAGGACCTCTGTCCTGGACCCTGAGATGCAGGCCCCAGGCATGAGTGGCATGTTCAGGAACGTGGGGCGCCTGGAGCCAAGAAAGGGGAGAAGGGCTGGGACCAACCTGGAATGGAGCTGCGCCCATCCCCGACTAGGACCAAGCCGGGCCCCTGGGTGGCTGAATCGGGATGAGGGTGATGGCCCTGACAGCCCACGGCACCGGCGGGGGCTCCAGAGACTCTCCTCAAGTGTCCCGACCCCACGGCCCTGGCCCCGTGCCCGCCAGGACAACCCTCAGGTGGCAGTGACACGTCACTGTAGAAGACATTTTCTCCTGCTGAGCAGAAGCACCCGCCCCACCAACTACCTCTTCCCACTATGTCTTTCTCCCCTGGTACCAAAAAGAACCCCGCGCCTCCTGGGCCGCCTCCACCCTGCCGGCAGCGGCCCTGGGCAGAGCGGGAGGGAAGCAGCACGGCCCCCAGCTCAAGCTGGGGTGGTCTCAGCAAGGCCCCCGTCCGCCCCCGCCCCAACCTTCAGAGGAGGCGTGGCCTCTCGGTGACCCGGAAACTCCTGGAAGGATTCCACCCTAACTTATTCTGACGTGTCCACAAGGCAACTGCCCTAGAGCGTCCACTCGTGCGAAGCCCTACTGTGTTTTTATGTTCCTGTTGAAAAGAGAGGTTTACTTAGCAATAATAAATAAATGAATATTCTTTAGTGAGGTGACTGCCAGCTCTTCCTTCCATGGCTTGGAGCACCTGACCAGCCCACGTTGGTGCCCTCTAAGTTCAGGAAGCCAGACCAGGACTCGAGAATGGGCTACCCTCCCGGAAACCTGCCCAGAAGAGCTGCTGCCTACCCCATACCTGCCCTGCGTACCCATGGACAGAAGGAACCCAAAAGGTGAGGTCTCCCCAGGGGGGCTCTGCAGACCACCCGGAGCCCATCCCAGGCTGCTGAGGCCCCCAAGTGCAGTGTTTGAGGAGCCCCAAGGGCTTCCCCCAGGTTTGGGGAAATGGCCTTGGAGTAACCAACTATTCACCAGGAGACACAGGACATCCTAGTATGGTCCCAACAGCCCCTGTGCACAGCCAAGGGTCACCAATTCTTCCCCTGCCCCTGCCTCCTCAAAAACACATCAAATAAAAAGGACAGTTGCCTTTTAAATGGGGCAAGTTCGCTTTATGGCCACTTCCCAGCTTTTGCCTAAGAATGATTGCCTGGAGCCTCAACCAGGAGGGGCCCATTCACACACCCCAGCAGGGCAGGGCCTGTGGCAGTACCGGCAAAGGGACATGATTTATTATTTTTTTAAGAAAAGTGTGGAGATGTTTACAAGGTTAACGGTAAAGGGGGGTGGGATGTGTCAATAAAAACTCACCCCTACCTACGGAGAAAAATACCCAAGGGGAAAGACATTCCCCAGACTCCCCTCCAGCCCCTGCCCCTTCATGGCTGACTCTGGGGGCAGCTCCTCCCGTGAGTTCCATCTGACCTGGCCGGGCTGCCACGTCCCATGGGGACAGATGTGACAGATGCAGCAGAGGGTTTGGCAGACAAATAGGCACTTCATGGTCTCCCGGGCGACCGGAAGTCAGGACACACTGCAACAGGCCTCCAGCTACCAGGCGCTCCGTGCCCTGGAAAGGCCGGTGGCACTGCCCTGTGCTGCCCCCGCTACTGATGTCCCAGGGCTGTGTTCAGGTTGCGCTGGATGGTGTCCAGGAAGTCAGAGGTGTTGAGGAAGTGCTCGTTGAGCTTCACACTGCCGAGGGAATGCGGCCGGGTAAGGGCAGTGGCCTGAACCCTGGCTCGCGCTTGGCTTTCCCAGGAGCCGGATACTGGGGCGTAGCCCACCCCCCGGGGTCAGGGGGTGATGGGTGCAGAGGAGGCAGACGGTACCCTGAGACGGGCCCCGAGCACCGAGCTGACTCCAGGGGTCTGCAGGGGTGTCCTGCTGTTTCCCACCCTCCCCCAGGCCACGCACTTGCTGAGACCATGGATGCAGCCCGCCAGGTCCTTGGTCATCGCTCCGCTCTCCACGGTGTCCACACATACCTTCTCCAGGGTCTGGGCAAACCTGCAAGGTGTGGGGAGGGTGCTGGGCTATGCAGGGCCACCCTGCCCCCAGAGGTGGTGTCATCCCTGCACAGGCCGCGCCCTACACTCACCTCACCAGCTCCTGGTTCCCATCCAGCTTTCCCCGGTGCTCCAGGCCACGCGTCCATGCAAAGATGCTGGCGATGGGGTTGGTGCTGGTGGGCCGGCCCTGGGGCAGGAGCACATGTCAAAGGCCAAAGCAGCGCCTGTCACCCACCCAGCACTCCTGGGGCATTCACACATGCCCAGGCTCACCTTCTGGTGCTCGCGGTAGTGACGGGTCACTGTACCATGGGCAGCCTCGGCCTCGATGGTCTTTCCATCTGGGCACACCAGCACGGACGTCATCAGGCCAAGAGAGCCAAAGCCTTAAGGAGGAGATCACGCTCTTGGGGCTGCCCCTCCTTGGCAACCCGCCCCCAGGACGGAGCCTCAGGCCCCCCCTCACTGTGCAGCTGCCTTTCAGAGCCTGTCCAACCCTAATGCACATTGAAGTCGGGTGACAGCAACTTGGGCCTCCTGGGCCCAGCACACAGCAAGAGCAGCTCGCCTGCTGGCACACAAGTGCTCGCCCCAGTGGCCCCGGGAGGGGTGCTCTTTCACACAGATCGGACACCCACTTGCTTCCCGCAATCATTCTGCTCTGCAGCTGCCCTAAAGCTCTGTGACGTGTGAGAACTGCATGTTCCAGCACTGCACGGTTCCCCCCAGGCACAAGCCGCACAAGCTGGAAAACCTGCAGGTTTACCCTGGGCCAGGATGTCCGACTGCACATCGCCGTCATAGTTCTTGCAGGCCCACACGAAGCCCCCCGTGGACTTGAGCACCTGGGCCACCATGTCGTCGATGAGCCGGTGCTCGTACCAGATCTTGTTCTTCTCGAAGTCTGGCTTGTAATGCCTGTAGGGCAGAGGGGTCTACATTGGGGAGGGGCCACCGGCTCCCTGGGGCTCTGAGGAGCCTGGTGTCTGGGCCAGCGCCCCCCCCCATACCCAAGGACGGGCAGTGGAGTTACTTCTCGAAGATCTCCTGGAAGATGTCCTTGAAGCGCCCATCGTAGGCCTTCAGGATGGTGTTCTTGGTGCTGAGGTAGAGCGGCCACCGCTTCCCCAGGGCGTACTGGAAGCAGCTGTGAGCGAAACCCGAGATGGACTGCGGGAGAGAGGGGAGTCCCTGGCATGGTTCCCGGGACCTGGGCACAGCCCCTCCAGATGGCCCGCCTGGTCCAGCTGCCTCAGGGGCACATCCATGCCGCCCCCACCCCGGTGCCCAGAAGAGGTGCCTGCTGCTCCCAATTCTTGTGGACGGGGCCAATCAGAGCCCTTCCTCTGCCGGGGCTCTGAGGATCACGTGCACCAGAGGGGCGAGCCAAAGGCCTGGAGCTTCCCGCGGACCCTCAACCCCTCTTCGCCTCCCCTGATGCCACGTGAGAACCTGAGAGGCACGGGCCCTAAGGTGTTAGCCCTGAGGGGGCCAGGCCCAAGGGACTCAGACCAAGAGTGTCAGCCTTGAGGGCCTCAGACCAAAAGTGTCATTCCCAGGGCCGGAGGGATAGCATAGTGGTTAGGCACAGTGGGTAGGGCATGTGCCTTGCATGTGGCCGGCCCAGGTTCAATCCCCGGCATCCCATATGGTCCACCCATGCACCGCCAGTGATTCCTGAGCACAGAGCCAGAAGTAACCCCTCAGCTCTGTCAGGTGTGACCCAAAATGTCAAAAAAAAAAAATGTCAGCCCTAACGGGGCCAGAGGCCAGGCCTGAAAGGGTGGAGCCCCAGACCACCGGAAGAGTCAGCCTTGCAGGGCATACAGGCCTGATACCAGACCGGATGTCAGCCTGATGGGTCCGGGTCTCAGTCTGGAAGAGCCGGCCTGAGGGCGTCCAGCCCCATACCGGAAGTGTCAGCCCTGAGGGGTCTAGGCTTCAGTCCTGAAGAGTTGGCCTGAGAGGTCCAAGCCCCGGACCACAAGATTCGGACTTGAGGGATCCAAGCCCCAGACTGGAAGTGTCAGCCCTAAGGGGTCCATACCCTCCTCACCTCATCTGTGTTGTACATGCCCATGCCCACGCCACCGGCCTTGAAGTCGTACACTGCCCACTCAGTGGGGGCGCTGCCATCTGTTGGGGTGAAGACCATCTTGAAGGCACCGGCCCGGTCCACCACGAAGTCCGTGGATTTGTACTGTGGGGATTGGGGTGAGAGTGGGGCTCAGACGAGGATCTTGGGCCAGGGTGCCTGACCCCGAGTGCCCTCGAAGCCCACCTGGTCGCCATGCGCGTGCCTGCCAATGGTGATGGGCTGCGTCCAGCCGGGGACCAGGCGTGGGATGTTCTTGCAGATGATGGGCTCCCGGAAGACGGTACCGCCCAGGATGTTGCGGATGGTGCCGTTGGGGCTCTTCCACATCTTCTTCAGCTTAAACTCTGTGAGCATGCAGAAACATTGGCCCACAGCCCCCAAGAACATGGACCCCAAAAGAGAAGGCAGCCACTGGCCAGGGGCCTGCACACCCAACCCTGGACATGGTAGGACATAGCCCAGCCCAGACGGCAGTGATGGAAGTACCAGGTGAGCCCCGTGGGCAGGGGACAGCTGGCTTTATCACATTGTACCAGGGTCCAGCCCCAGAAACTGAGGGTCCCTGTGTGGCCCCGCCACCCTTGTCCATCAGACTATACCCAAGTTTGGGAGCAGTGTGCAGGGTATGTGAGATGCTGTTCTTTGCATGCAGAGAGAATTCTGGAACCATCCAGAACTGCCCATGAATCACCTAGGGGTGGTCTCATAGAGTCGTGGGGGTGGAGAACTGCTGAGATGTCCCATGGCCCCAGGGGCAGATGGCAAGGGCACACTGGCAATGTCACTGTCCACTGGGACAGCTACGTATAGGACACAGATGTCCTGGGGAAGCCAGAGCAGTCGTGGAAGTGATACAAAGACGCAAGTCACAGCAGATGTAGCTTTCCAGACTACATATGTCCCAGGGACCCCCACAGTCACCTGACAGCCCCTTCCCTGGGGTCTAGCTCATCCCCTTCGCACCTTCCACACGGGCCTCGTCAGGCGTGATGGTAGCACACTTGACAGCCACGCTGTACTTCTGGGTGGCCAGGGCTGAGTCAATGGTGACCTGGTCATTGGTGAGGTCGCGATTAGGTAGCCCCAGGTCAAAATACTTGAGCTCCACGTCCACGTGAGGCAGGATAAGCTGGGGAGAGATCCACGGAAAGCCTCAGCCCAGAGAGGCCGAGGACAGGCCCCCGGAAGGGACACGGGCTTGTCTTTGCTGTTAGTTGGGGGACCACACTCAGCAGTGATCTGGGGCCATGCAGTGCCAGGGCCTCATGCTAGCACAGCATGTATATGCTCTACCAGCGAGCCCCAGCCCCCTGCCATCAGACTTCCAGGGAGATCAGCAGGGTGCCAGTGAGGGCGAGGACCCCAAGCCAAGCCCAGAGCCACCTGGAGAGCATCTGAGAGGTGGGCCCCCCTTCAGGAGAGTTTACCTTCTCCTTAATGAACTGCCAGATGATACGGGTCATCTCGTCCCCATCCATCTCCACAATGGGCTTTGCCACCTTGATCCTCTTGCTGGCATCTAGGGCAGGGTGCACAGGGCGTCACA